TCACAAAATCCCACACATATCATTGATCTATTTTTGGAAGAATGTGCTTTATGGTTTTTAGTTAAAAGTAGGGATGCATGTTTTTATTCAAATCAATGTGTGAATTTAAAATGATTTTCATTTCTCTTGGAAAAGGTTCTATTTTTGTGTTGTGTATTCTGAGCTTCTTTGTGGTTGGTACCATTTAACAGGTAAAATGTAGCACTGTTCATTTAAAGAGTATTATTTTTACTTTTCTAAGTTTGTTAGGTTTTTAAGTATAGTCACAGAACATGTAGTTTATTGCTACAGTACTTACTGAATAGTGTGGTGTAATATTGTAATTGTCAGGCTATACATCTTCAGCTGTCATTTTTAATATTATTTTTGTACACTGAAAAATATGCATTTGTTTGGAAGAAGTGAAAGCTAAGCAAGCATTGTAAAACCAAGAATCATTTATTTTTATTGCATGTTTTGCAACTGCCATCTGTCGTCTGCTGTTCACTGCTCAGTGGAGCTACAATAAAAGAACACACAACACTCACATGGGCACAATAACTGTTTACCTTTGTTCCTGGCATATCTGTCTTTTTTTACAGTGTAACCAACAATGTCAGTATTTATTATTTTACATAGACTGAGTCAGAAAATTCAAAAGTTTTTCCTTTAAAACACTGTTCTCTTCACATTACATTTGCTTCTGATTAGAAGAGGATTAAACAGAATAATTTTCATTAAAGATATTATTTTCATAAAAAACATTTCATTCTTTGGCCTAACACGCATCCTGACAAAATCTCTCTCAAGAAGTCTACTCTTCTACAAAATGCGAAATTTGAAGCACAATAAAACAGACCTCAATGCAGAAACACATTTTTGTTTTAAGTGGTTTGAGCTTTTGGCCTGTTAAAGAGGAGCAAGAGAGTCCTGTAATAATACACATTCACACACAAAGAATAATTACAACGTCTATAGAAGGCTAATTATTTGCTGAGTATTTACTAAGATTATGGCTTTGTGTTGTTCACTGTCAAAGTGAAATTTACTTGCATTTCAAGTAGTCTGGTATAAGTGTACTGTATGGCTAAACATTTCTTTATTTTAAAGGTAGTACATGAGGCTACAAATAAAAAGATGAAAAGAATAATTGTATATGTATTGTACTTCAGAGAGGGGAGAAAGCCTTTTTTAGAACTACAGGAGATTTTTGACCAAAAACAGAATGTTATTTTTTTCCTGAATATCTGATGGGTAAAACTGGAAAAAAAAACAGTTTTATGTAAATGCGTGTAGCATTGCTTTAATTCATTCAGCTTTTTTTTTTATTCAGGCTCTTTATTATATTTCATGTATATTTTAATTTCACTTTTTTGGAGGAACCGTTATAGTGCTTAATATTCCTGCTAATAATAACAGAAATGTCAAACAGCAATTACTTTAGATTTGAATATGTGATGCTACATTGTATTTGTGGATCATGTTACATCTTGTACGAAAATAAATATAGCCTGGCTGCATTATAATTTATACAAAGGGACTAAATGTATTGATGTATTCCAAAATAAACTGTGTGGAGCTAAATGCGTTCCTGTTATTTGGCTGGTCCTTATGACTCCTCACTCCCATTAACAAGCTGGAAACTATTTGATAAGGCTCATCATTGTACTGCTTTACCATACATTATGCTTGTTTTGAGAACAGTGGGTCAGAATTTCAGCATGCCTCCCAGTCTGTATCTGCCTGCTTCACATAATTAATAATTTAAACAAATATTAGTTCCTATTATGACTCTAGGGCCACAGTATTTGTGCTACCTTTGCATTATCATTTGAAAAGAAAAAAAGCTTGATTCTCACTGCACTGTTTTATAAAGTTTTATAGTCAGAACATGACAGGGACATTATACTGTAAAAAGGTAATGTCCTTCAGATGAGACTTAAAACTGAGGTCCTGACTCTCTGCAGTCATTAAAAATTCGGGCGTTTTGTGAAAAGAGTAGGGGTATTACCCCGGTGTCCTGGCCAAATTTCCCCCTGGCCTTTACCGATCACGACCTCCTAATAATCTCCATCTCTGAACTGGCTTCATCACTCTGTTCTCCTCCCCACTTACAACTGATGTGTGGTGAGTGTACTGGCATACTTACTGGATAGTCTTTAGTCGGCTCATTTACACAATCCTTTAATACTGTATTCAACAACGATAGGTGTTGTTAAGCATACATGTATCTCTCCATCTGAGCATTACCTTAATATCCGGCACAGTGAGTATTGACTGCTCAGTGTGTTAAGACACCTTTAAGTGCTGTTTGCTGGGGATTAATGTTCAAAAGCCAGTAGCAGCAGCTGTGGGACTGGGCTTATGACTGGCTTTGCTGACTTTGGCACGATTATAAAATGCACCCTCAATATGTGACATTGATTTGGCTCAGTCAAAATGCTCTTGTATGTACAGTATGTGTGTTCAATCGTGTTTGTTTTCCACATGACCTTGCATTTCGAAGTTGTGTTGCCATACTGCAACAAAGGTAAATCTTCAGAATCACCGAGGTTCATTCCATCAAGTATGAAGGTTTCTGGAACTAAAGGAGAGCCTTGGCACTCACCGTTCTGACATACCGTTCACTATTCACTAACACAGATGAGTTCCCACTATGTGCTCTCACGTCTCCCTCCCTGTGAATGCCTCAATTCATTGAAAGCTTTTTTTATAATACCCATTTCAATTAAATCTTTGAAAGAGATTTTTTTTCTATACAGTATTTACAAATTGCTTTGGACGATAAACATTGAAGGCATTAATGGAGATGTGCAGACATTTTTTACTACAATTACTTCGAGTGCTAATTATCTTGAAATGTTGCATAACTATTGAACAAGTTGGCAAAAACTATAATTACTAAAAACATATCCTGGTTCTTTCAGATTAATCGGTTTCAAGCAAATTGAACATTTTAGGTATATTCATGAGATATGAAGGATATTGTTAATGAGACACTTTGTGTCTGTACCTTGTACTCCTCTACTTGGAAGATGATTTCTGGGTGAAATCCTTGTTGATGTCTCATAAAACATGATGTAATAGTTCTGTAACTGGTTCTGTAATGGTTCAGACTAAAGGCTCAACGTTCCAATAAGCAGGATGAGAAAAACGTTTTGATCTTGGGAATCAGAGAATTGTGCATTTTACTTGGTAATTTAAGTGATGATGAATACTGCAGTTCATAAAAAATCTAAAATGAGTTCTGAGTTTTCAGTTGACACAGACATGTCTCAATCTTTTATGATAAGTTCCAGCTAATCAGCAGAGGAGCTGGTTTCAAACATTTCCCACAGCTTAGGCTTGTGATAGGGCACTCACAGTCATTCTCTTAACATCTACTAATATGCGAGTCAGAATTTGCTAGATTTTTCAATGTGATTTGTGACGTGCAGAATTTAGGAACATATTTTAATGTATTTAATGGAACATAGATGTTCAAGGCACATCATGTTTTCAAGCGGACAAATCACTAGATACCATAGTTCTCCCCTGAAAAGAAAAGACCTGTTTGAATTAGAATGAATAGCTTATAAAAACTGGTAGCATTCTTTATTTGTACAATAGTTAAGAATTTCACATTACGTATAAAAAGTAAGGATCTCAGAAATGAACACCATAGAACTCTTCATAACAACACCTGTTGTCAATTGTAAAAGTGTTAGCTGTGATTTCAAGGCACCTCACAGAAACACTTACTACAATTAAATTATCATTACAATTATTAATTAAAACCTATGCCACAATTAAATGGCACTTACTACAATTTGAAATCTTTATTTGTAGCATAGGATTGAATTAATACTCTGCTTCTGAAAATCATTTTCTGTCTTTTGTTTGCATTTGTCTATGATTCAGTGAATCCCTTTATATCACTTTATCCTTGCATGTTTTGTTTTGCCATGCTTTATCTTTGTTTTATTTTAACAAATTGTAAAAAAAAACAACTGAGACAAAAGTATTTTATAAAAATTACAAAAAAGGATTACACAAAATCAGCAACGAAGCAATCGATGCCTCATTACTGTTCATTACAAAATAAGATCAATGTGCAGTCAATGTTTCTAATGGGAACATGATGCAAAATGTAATGTATTAATGTATATTTACTGTATACAGTTCGGCATACACAATAGTTTCAATCAGCAATCAAAATTAACATTATGAAACATCTTCTGTGATGACAGGACTTTCCACCTAAAAGTTAAGAAACTAATAACATCTGAGAATATGATATAGTAATGGTAAAATGTAATCAAAGCAAGACTTTTCTCATTAGTGCTTATTCTCACAGAACAGATCAGTGATTCTTATTTGTCATTCACTGTGGCAACAATAGTCAATCAATATTGTTTTCTGTATATGGTAATTAAGACAATATTAAACTTGGGAATATATTTAAATGACAAAATAATTTCAGTTTAAGGAAATAATGTAAAACCTGTCTGAACAGTACTTGGATTATGAAGCCAGATGGTCACCTTTTGCAACAAGCAAACTAGTTAAAATTTAGTACCGGTTATTTAAAATGTTATTATCTCTACCTCACTCACGATAAACCCTTCAGCCACTGAAAGCATTAATTTTTTCACCCTGTATTTGCTGGAAAACAAAGGAGAAACAATGGATTAAATGAACTGGTCAAACATTACAACCTCTCATCCCTAAGTCAAATGAACAGGAGTTCAGTGTTGAGACTTGGTTGTTTTGAGGAGCAGGATATAGACTTTCATGACCATTTCCTTTATTTAGTGAGGGGACTCATAACTAATATTTTTATTATGTCCTGTATATATATACTGTATTACAAATAGTACATACTGTAAAACCACGCTTAAATATAAATCTGCTTATTTTTTAATTATTCTGTGAAGCTCTACCTACAGTAGCTAATTACTGAACATGATTCTGATTCTGGATTTTGGAAACCAGATTGTGTTTACTGTTGTCTAAACTGTTTCAATCCCGTCTCTTTCTAGTTGCAAATGAAGCGGGAGAGAACAACACACGCCCCCTGGCAAGGTTTGCACGTGAGTATCTGTGTGTTTCTGTCGCTTCCCAAACATGGTGCTTTGGTGACGTGTGAATCAAGGAGAAAGATACGCGATTTGTGATCATGTTTAAGATTTCCAAAATGAATAATTTTCGCTATCAGTAAGTACGCTGTGTACAACAGTCACTCACGTTGCACTCGGTATAGAAGATAAGAACTATCTGGTGTACTTCTTGAGTCTTAATAATATAAATAATCAGCATAATATCAATAACCAAACATAAATGATCACTTAATATGTAGACAACAGTTAGTATTATAGTGTGGAAGTGAAGAGTTAAAGGTGAATAATTTGTGAACAGCATTCTTGCTAGTGATGTACTGTAGTTTGAGGACACTGACACTAAGGTGAGAACCACATTCACGCTAACACAATGCACAGCATATGCAGGATTTGCTAGGGTGGTGAAAATCGATTAAGAGAACAAGAATTTAGTCAGGGCTAGCTGTGCTTTATAGCATTTCAGATGGTGCTGCAGGATTGTTTCTAACCATGAAGGACAGGCACCTCCTATGATACAGCATACATTGTCATGATTCCTTTGCAATCGTACAGCCCTTTGAATCCAGTAGAAAGAGCGCCACCTTCTGGTACTGGAGCATTAATCCCAATATTCACTGGAGATCGATTTTTTGGAATAACTAATAGAATAACTAATTTATTGGTTGATTAATTGAAGTACATAAAATGCAGCTTAATTAATAAAGAATCAGTTAATCAGTTATAATTCAGTAGAAATGTATGCTTTATTTAAGATATTCTCTTCCAATCAAACTTAATTCCACATCACTCGATACCTTTGAGAATAATTTTGATGCTTGGTATTATGTATAATTTAATTTAATATTCTCAAAACTCAGTGTCGATGAGATACATGCCTGTGACTCAGATGATAATGGGCAGGTCTGGATCTTTGGAATCTGACTTTCGCAATTCATGATGATGCAAAATTTGCCAATAATAGAAGACTGTCCCTCCTAATAGAAAGGGGCTCTTTAAATTTAATTTGTTCAAATAAGGTGATACTACATTTAAACCTGGATTTTAAAGACTGTAATATAAATTTGACATAAATACAGTGTGGTGTTTGTTATCATGGGCTGTATTATTATTGTAAGATATTCTCAGTAATTCCCCCCCAACAAATATGTATTTTTGGAAATAAAATGGAAGTAAAGATATTTTGCCAATTATCTAATTTAATTTTATATATTTTAGTTTTGAGGGACATGGCTATGACTATTTTGTTTTTGTATTCTTTTTGATTAAAATGTAAGATTGTTCTTTCTCCAATGTAGGCTTTCAAGGCATATAGGTGAATTGTTATATTAATTTCTGTATTATACTAATATCAATTTATTCCTCAATAAATGATTGGCTATAAGCCTTAAATTTGGCATTGTGTAATTAATGGGTTGATAATTCTCTTTGTAGTCTGCTTGTTTTATGACAGCTGTGTCACAGAAATCCAGTCAAATTCTTACAGATTAAATTGTTTAGATGACGTCTGTCTCAGTACTGACCACGCTTTTCTTTCTTGAGTTTCTGAGATTTGACAATATTGGGCTTCTACATAATAAATCAGATTGTTCCGTTTTGTAATGCACAGACTCCGACATCTTTGACATCAGTGGCTTCATCTAAACACAAAACCTTGCAGCTGCAACTTTTCAGATTTTTCAGGGCAAATCAGAGAGCTCCTGTTGATAGTGCTCACTTTTTTTTAGTTAGCTACTGTAAGTAAAGACTGAAAATGAAATAATGAAAATTGTAAAAAATCATGTACAAAATGTTCTGACCTTAAGTAAAAGGATATGAAATACTCATATCCATGACCTCCTTTGGCATCTTCTAGTCTGGGAGAAATGTAACCAGCTTTGTGATGTCATGTATGCATAGAAATCTAACAGAACTGCTGAACAGATATAACAGAACATATATCTAACTGCTATTGCTTCTTCATCTCCGTCTCTCCACACTATTGCCATTACTACTATTTAGAACAGGGGTCTCAAAGTCAATAACTGGAGGGTTTTTGTTCCATCCACATTCTCAATTACATAGTTACATAGTACTGTAATACTTCTAAAAAGCCTCCGATGTGACATACTGTATAGGTATTTTTAATGAAGTGAAGGACTCATGGAACCAACTGTAAAACACATTAAGACAACCCTGTGTGTCAAATTGTAAAAAAAGGTTAATTGTCCGATTAAGTCCTCATTTTAAAGACCAGATCACACAAGGCCCTTCAGGAACTCAGTCTGACACCACCGAATTACAGCAAGTGCATGTGCCCATCTACAATGAATTAGATTAATTTCCAGTAATTAACTGAATCATTCTAGCATTACCTTTTTGCTTCACAGACTGATTAAAAATCATTCCAGGATTAATCTTACATGTGCTTATTACTACTACTGCAGGGGTTCCCAGTCTTGGTCCAGGAGGCTCGCACACCTGTTCGTTTCTCTTTCTTGCACCAGCCTCAATCACTGTATCCGAATGATAGGATTATTGAGTTGTTTTTAGCTCTTAAGACACATTGGTTGATGCTTTTTGACGGTTGCATTTTATAAGCAACTTAAAACATTCAGCTTCGGGACTGAACAAACGAACTCGTTGGTTCGATTAAGGGTTCCATAAAGTAAGGAGTTTTTGCGAAACAAAAGGCGACTTGTGGGGCTCCCTGTGAGTGGTCCCCTGGTCTGTAGCGGAGCAGTGGCTCTGTGGCTGAGGATCTGCGCCTGTGACTGGAAGGTTGCCGGTTCAAACCCCGCGGCCGGCAGAGGAATCCTACTCCGTCGGGCCCCTGAGCAAGGCCCTTAACCCTAACTGCTCCAGGGGCGCTGTATAATGGCTGACTCTGCGCTCTGACCCCAAGCTTCTCTCCCTGTCTGTGTCTCCATGGAGGAAAAGCTGGGGTATGTGAAAAGACAAATTCCTAATGCAAGAAATTGTATAGGGCTAATAAAGAAACATTATACATTATTATGAATGGCCGAATGTGTAACTTACTCTTTATTTCCACAAGATGGCAATGGGGCACCGTGCCTCCCTCTTCCAAACTCTTAACAGCCTTCGAGTGCAGGCTGAAGTGAAAGTGGCAGTCATAGGATGCCACGTTATGATTGGTGTATCCTGGTATCTATTTAAAAAAGATTAAATTTACACAAAAGACATATTAAAGAACAAATTAATCGCATTTCGCATTAGGACTGTTTTCAAGGCCTAGTGAAACTGGCTCCATTTAAAAAAAAAAAAGAAAAAAGCCAGACAACTTGCAGACAAATACTGTATGCAACAATGGCACAAAGACCTACTGCATTTTGTAGTTGGATACATTTAAATATATTAAATATAGTGATGGCAACTAAGCTCTATTGTATTTCAGGCTTTGCACTATGTTGTGATACTGTATATCGAAGCATATTGTATCTATAAATGTGTAGAAAATCAGAAGAAAAAAAACTTCCAGTTAGCAAAATGCAGAAGAAACACAACACTCTGAAACTACACACCTCCACCTGTTTAAGAGGTTTTTTTTTCTGTTTCTGTTGGAAGTGTGAACGAAACCACACATTCAGCCACATTCTGGCTGTCACAATTGTAGTCCCTCCTCCTTAAGGGCGCTCCGGCTCTTTTCACTTTGGACTTGTTCTGTGCACCTGCCCCTTGTTCCAGCCTCCTTCCCGTCCCCCTTAAAAGCCAGACACTCAGTCAGTTCCGGTCTCTGCATCTGATTTCCGTATCGTGCGAGCCCCGGTCCTGATGAGTCTGGCTTCGTCGTGGTTTTTAAGTCTTTGTTCCTGTTCCCCTTGCCGGTTCCGACCCGGTTCCTGATTTTATCTCCTGTTTCGGATGGGTCGCCGGGCCATGGACTCGAGCTTGTTTTGGGATTTCCTGTCTGGATTATTTTTGGATTGTTTGCCTCGGCCACACCTCCCCCTGTGCACCCGCGCACTTTGGACACGCCCCCCTGTTTTGATCCCCGTTTCCTGCGTGGCCTTCCCCGCCAGTGTTTCCTCACTATTCCTAATCCGCATAGGGTCCAGAAAGAGCCATTCGTTACACTGGCTTTTATTTCTTAGTGTGGCAATGGTATTTAACTCTGAGTGTCCAACAGGTGGAGACTCACAGCTAGTTCAGAGAAACTGCAATAACAATAATGCTCGAAGAGCTGGAAGCTCCTTTACTATTATAAACTGTTTCACATCAACTGCTCCTTCCTGACGTTTGATTTGTGTCTTATGTATTCTGATGTATGTTCTTAACTTCCACTGCTACCATGTCACCTATACAGTCTGTGGAGTATAAAATATGTTCTGCAAAGATTTCTTCAGGTTAACTGTAAATTAATGGGGGAAGGAAAGGGTGTTTCAGTATAAGGTTAGGTGGGTTTTATCATGAAATGATTGCCTCTCTGATGTTTGCGCTATGAAGCTGAGAAATTAGATGCATGTACTGTAGAAAATGGGATAGTACGCAATCTGTCCTCATGCACAGTGACCGCACTCAGCTAGGAACACTGAAGTAATGTCCATCTGCAGGTGTACAGTGTGCTCTTAAGAGTGAACTTGGGTTATGCCTTCTACTGTGTGCTGTGATCCTCCATCCTTCTGTGATCGTCCAGGCGGCGTCAAGGCAGTACCACCTCATCACAAAGGGGCAATGGTCTGTAAAGGGGACATTCCACCACAGCTGTTAACTTCTGACTGCCTATGAGCTCAATGGACCAACTACATACTGGCCCATCAAACCAAATTAAGCCCAACGCAGAAGACAATTTATGTGGAACAAAGCCCTCTCACCCAAGTAGGCACCCAACACTCCAAACTGCACAGTGACTCCCTTCTTTCAAAGCTATAGAGTCTGGTGAACTGTAAGAGAACACTCATAATGCAATCCATCCTGTCAACCCTAACACAAACAATCAGGCTGCAAACCCCTGACCAGAACAACGCTACTATGTATATACTGAATATGTCCGGCAAGGGCAAGACCTGGGAAGAATGGACCATTAGTAGGAAAAAGACCCTGCAGTACAGATTTCAAAAGCGTTTGTCTATATCTGCATCATTTCAAAAAAAAAATCAAAGAATATTTATCCTGTCCGTATTCAGAATTTTCCCTTTTTTGTCTTCTACTTTAGGCTCCAAATCTCAGAATGCTCTGTGGAATGCCATCACAGCTGGAATTGGGATCAGGGACAAAGAAAAGAGGGGAATCCTCATTGATCCCCGAAACCCAGAGGAAATCCTTGCAGATGAGCTTCCTGCAGTGGACAGTCCAGATGCCATGGAGAAGACAGCTATCAGGTTGGGAAGTGAATTGGCTTAAATCAGAAAGAAAATAAAAAGGTATAGCACGAGAGTCAGAGAAGAAAGGAAATCCTTCGCTACCTAGTGAGTAGGCCCTGCAACTGTGGCACAGAATGTAAACCTTTTGAAATCTTCCAAACCTTTTGTTACTCTTAAGAAACATACACGGTTAGCTGGCAATTTGGATACTGATGTCTTCATACAACACGTTCATGGGTATGCAGCTCTTTTTTGATTGATGTCATACTGTTCAAAACATGAGACGATAAATCATTTATATTAAAATGTTGTACATGTTGTTCTTTTGACAAATAGTTTTATCTGGCATCTGGGGCCTGATGTTCTTCTGCAGCTTTGATATTTGTTTTTCCTTTGTACATGGCTTTAAATGTGTGCATTCCTAATGAATTTACGATCCAGTACCCTCCCAGGAGTTAGTTTAAGGAATAAAGATGTGTGATATGAATTGATAATGTCAGTTTTCAAGAGGTTTACAGAAACCTTCAGACCGATAGTTTAAATGTACAGTATAGTATAACCACATCTCTTATAAACCGTACAACGGGAACATTATTCGAGACACTTTTACTGGTGTATGCACCAGCATGTTAACAAAGTGCCATACGATGCTCCCCTAGATGCATTTAAAGAGATTATGCATGTGAAAGCATTAAGCACTTTACATTCCTCCAATAAAAACAAAACCTTTTTACCACTGCATTGATTTTCACAGTTAGTTTTTTTTTATTTACCCTGCTCATATGAAAGAGGGATATTATATTTTGTATACTGTTTGTTATTTTAAATAAAAATATTAAAAGGTAGTTTTTGTAGAAAAAAAGGTCTCACAGCTGGTGATAGATATTGAATATGGGAATTAAGTCAGTAAATATTATTGATTTATGACATGCATCAGTTAAAGGAAATGGTCTGAAAGGTTGTCAATGTGACAATCACATTTAAAACTTAATGAAGGAGTTCTCCAAAGTTTGCTGAAGTTAAAGAAAATAATTATAATGATGATGTGATCAATATCCAAGGAACTGGAAAGTAAACATTTCTTCAGTTTTTTATTTCTTGTTTATATTATTTTTACTGTGTTCATCTTGCAACACACAAGATTAAATCTACTCCCAAGTGAAGTGTCTTTGAAAATAAGAATTGCACGGAAATTTTAATTCAGTGAGATGAATTTCTCTTTGATGTTTGCTGTGTGTTTTGAAAGTGTTTTTGTGGATTGTAGGACACTAATTAAATCAGGGATCTGCATCAGGGTGTAGATAAAACACTCACCATTTTTCGTGTAGTTCTGCCAGTTCAGTCACTTTCATTTAATCAGTTCTCACTTTTCACAGACACTGAAAAATCTGTGAATGTCCTCTATTCCCAAGGCCTACTGATCTTCTGTATGACAATTTTAATGACATCTACAGTACAAACGCCACAATTACACAAACACTACTGTATTTGAAAGGGCTGAGCTCGACTTCGCTTGGCAGCAGATTTACGTGCATCTTATATACCTTATATACAGTAAACACTTTTATTCACCTACTGACATAGAATGTAGCAGGGAAATTTGGATGAAAACAAGAACTCAAGAATAATTCAATATTCAAATACACGAAAGACAACAGATATAGTAATGGAAGTGAACATAATAGTGCAGTATGAAAATGGAACATCGGTATCGACAATCGCAGGAGACTTTGGCCTTCCTTGATAATATAGTAGCGCTCTCGGGTTCACGTGGGTATGCGCCCTCACCACTGCCGCCTCAGGTCGGCCCCCCACCACTGGGGACTCGAACCCGGGCCTCCGGCTTCACTCAACAGGGACCTAGCCACTCAAGAGAGATCTCCAGCGGTGGGGTGCCAACCTGAGGTGGCAGCGGCGATGGCACATACCCACGTGAACCTGAGAGAAATTTTTGACATTTCCTTTTTCATACTATACAGCAGTTCAACATTAACAATTGCAAAAATGTGTGAAATTTCATGTTACATACAGAACTAAAAATTGATCATATCACTGCATTAAGATTTGCTTATTAAACGCTTGTATTTTACTAAAATCACTGTGTGCTTTCATCACATTTAATTTTTAAAATATCCATTAACTTCATAAATCAACTCCTTTAATTATCCATACTTTCTTAATTATGTGAAAAATTTAAAATACTACAACACTGTAGTTATCAATAAGGATTTCTTGGCAACTAGCCTGGAAGATGTAATTTACAGTAATTTGCATTTGATAATCTCACCTCTCACTTTTTTAACTTTAGAACATATTTATTAAAAATAATTAATTTCTTGTGGAAAACCCAATATGGAATGTAAGCATAATGATTTATCCTTACTATACCAAATTGAACTTAAATGATACTACAATTCTCTTTTACTTATTTGCAAATAGCCGATAGGTATTGTACCAATTGTTATGCCTCATTCTTAATGTTTGTTCTAAAATCTGAGATCAAACTGACCTCATTTGTGGTAAACATCTTGGTTTATTCAAGATACACAAGATACAAACCATTATATCACATCTGAGATGCTAGAATCTTTGTATCATGCATTTGAGAATTATTTCAGAAGGAGTAGAACCCAAGAATGAAGTATATTGAGAATGTCTAATTATTGTTTTAGTCATAGTATTTTTTTTGCTTTTTCCTCCTTGGCTGAGGGTTGAACTCCTGGCCACAGGACAAGGAGGCTGGCATACAAGATATCCAGTATGCAAGGGTGAGAAGGGGATTACTTGAAGTATTTCTCATTTTAAATGTAAGGAAGTGACTTCAGGACTGATCACAGTTCAGGACAGCACAGGCTGATTGAACTTGGTTGTTGTCATCCATCCTGAACTTTCGTTTACGTTGTTGTACTTTTAACATTTACAAGATGCTATGCATGCTAAGTTTCCTCCCTCCTTGGTAATATTTAAGGCTGTTCAAATAAAAATGGAGCCCGTTTGCTTCTTTGTGTAGAGCTTTCAGAGGCTGTTACAACATAATTGGAGCCATGTGATAAACGCAGCTTGGATTGGGAGTTTAAGACCTGGGCTGTTCAATCCTGGACCTGGGGGTATGATGTTCTACCTGTCTGTCAAAGACCATCACCTGAAGATGAAGAGAGAAGTTGTCAGATTTGCCTAATGAGGCTAATTATGCTATAAGTTATTAAGAACTAATTTGAAATTAACAAAGGCTCTACAGCCCTCTAGGATTAAGATTATTTTCCAATGCATTTTGTACACTTCAGAACAAAGCTGATGTGATTGCTTGGACTGACCTAGCTAAGGTTTTGCCCCACCGATTTCAAACACATTGCAGGTTTTTATGTTTAGTTCTAGAAACTTTAGCAAACAGGATATTGCAATGAACAGTCCTTGAAAACATTGTGTTTCCAGTGCAGACACAGCCTGACAATATTTTTTTCTGATGGAAAAGAATATTTAAAAGCCTATGTAATGTTCTGCACATGAAAAAAAAACAATTAATTTCTAATGACTTTAATTAAGTATGTTGCACCACTTCTGCCACTTTGAGTAATGATACAATTTTATTCAATATTCTGACTACTTTAGATAATAGATGTAGCCTGCACGCTACAGTTGTCTGAATGTTTCTAAGGAATTTTTCAAGGATGTCCATTCAAATTATTAAAATTTATTTTGTTTGGGCCTGCCTGACATTCGTAATGTATGGATTGCTGTGTGTATTTTATCTTAAAGAGCAAGCTCAAAAGAGAATGGAAAACAAGCATTATTTTCCAGTCTTCACTGTGTTTGGCTTAATTTACTGTGTTTTAATAAACTTACTTTGTTTGTTATAATTATACTGAAAATAGATTAAATAGGTAAATAGATATGTACCTCTGCAGTTCTGCAGTGCCACAGTGGTCACACTTCTTAGGGGTTGTGCTTGGTTTTCAGCCTTTTGTGCCTTTTGTGTTTTCTGGAGTGCATTCTGACTGGTGGCATAAATGCTTCTTTATCTGTCGTTTTAATCCTTTTCCTCTGGGAGTTTCTCCTTCGGAAACAATGGCTATTTCTTATGAACTTCCCAGGGCAGTATTTTGAGGAACAGCTTAACTTCAGCAGAAAGTAAACAAGAAAGCACAAGAATATTTCCATCTAATCTGGAAAAAAAACTAGATTGTGGAAAAAAAGTGTTGAGTGGTGTGCAGTCTAAGGGTCTTATGGATACATTTAGAAGACGATCGAATATTTAGTGTTGCATGCTTCAGACTTGAATACCACTGCAGATGGAGCTGGATTTAACCACTCACACTGAACTCCAGCACCCTGACTCCAGCAGACAATTGATATTTCTGAAATTAAGCCCCCTCCCTTATTCACTAATCATAAGGATCATGTTCATACTCATTGTTTTCCACTTCCGGGGGTTGCGAGAGCAATTATACTGATGCCACATGGCTCTGTTCAGTGAAATCTGAAACACTCGGTCAGTATGCTAGAAGCATAAAAGGCTACTATCTGAACAACTGCTTCTCTTATTGAAACATGCAGCATGCTTCCTTTCCTAAGTCTTCTCTATCATTTATCCAGTTCCGACACGACCGGCAATGACAAAAAATAAAGCATTTCTTGTCCAAAAGACTATTTTTTAACAGCAGTAGTATTAGTAGCAGTAGTATTAGTAGCAGTTCTAGATTAATGTTCTGACAGAAATACAGTAGGTGGAAGCTTCAGAATTGGAGATATTTGACCATGGCCAGTGATAAAAACTGTCATCTTGCTTCAGAACTCTGAATCATTCCAACTGACACATATTTGCTGTTTTTTGTCAACCATCCAAAGTCGATATTCACAACTTTTAAATTCTGTGAGGCACCTGAAACTAGCAACAATATTTAAAGTGTTAGCAACATACATGAACATCTGTAGCCTTTACTTCATCTCATCCTTCATGCTGCAATAAAACAGTAAATCCCAGGGCTATTAACGGCCTGGCTGTATGCAATCTGAGTCTG